CCCCCCCCCCCTTCCCTTTTCTAAATATTATTATTTTTTTTAAATTTTACTTTTCCATTTTTTTAACTTATATATTTTAATTTATAATTTTATTTTTTTTAAAATTAATTTGTGTGTGTGTGTTGGTGTGTGGGGGGGGGGGGGCTCTCCGATATAAATGTCTTGTGCTGTGCCTAATCTGATACACAGGGAAGGGACAGCTGCTGAAAGTAACGAACTCTTTATGAGCCAGTCTTTTTTTTTTTTTAATTCGTTGGCTCAAATGCTAATAAAACTCTAATCGGAAAGAGCAAATTAAGCCTAACAATCATGCGTATTTTTAAAAAAAAATGGAAGAACGAGAATTATCGTGCTAATGTCTGTGGCATGTAGAGTAATAAAGGGCGTTAAATAACCCCCCCCCCCCAATGTCTGTGTAACTATAGTAACGTAACGTAGGGGGACCAAACGTCCCGTAAAAACGGGATTGTCCCTAAATATCCCCGTTTTTGTTTTTTTAACAAAACACATTTTCTAATCACTAAAACTTCCTAATTTATAATATAACTTCAAATAATAATTTTGCCTAGCTGTGTAGCTCGCGTGATGGCTGCACCGTTCCCTCTCCACCACAGTGTCCCTGCCATAGTTCTTATATGTAAATGTATATGGAAAGACACGAGACTTAAAGCCGCAAAGGGGGGGGGGGGGAGGATGTAACTGTGCAGACAAAAAATTTGATTCCACGACCGCTACGTGTAATGTGTTAGTCTTATGTGTGATCCCTGCCGGCCTGTTCGTTTCAGAGTGACAGGTGTTTGTTTTGGGTGTTGAACTTTATTCTTTAATTTTTTATTATCTTCTCATGTAGGCCTAAAAAATGATTATGCATAAGCATCAATGTAAGTTTATTGATGAATATTCCAAAGAGTGGAACTATATTAAAAAAGGGACGCCATGAAAGTGAAGCCGAGTGCACAGTTTGCAATAATTTTTTTAGTATTGGTCATGGTGGACGTTTAGACATAAAACAACATAACACACCACATCAGTGAAACATGGGAAAAGACGTAGTGTCCCAAGTAGATTTCTAGATTAGATTTCATAGTTAAAATGAGCATATTTCAGTAAACAGTTCCCGGCCGAGGCCCCCGGCCTTTAACTGGAGGGTATACCCCGCCCCTTCCCCCCCCTCTCCCCCCCAAACAAAACAACCGTCCTTGAAAGCGTCCCGTTTTTTTCCTTCCAAATCATGATTTGGTGACCCTAACGTAACGTCATGCGATCATACATTTACGCGGTAGTTCCGAATAAGATGTCTGAGAGTTTACGAGGAAGCCCAGTCAGAAGACAGGCAGTTGTGTCATGCGATCATACATTTACACGGTAGTTCCGAATAAGATGTCTGAGAGTTTACGAGGAAGCCCAGTCAGAAGACAGGCAGTTGTGTCATGCGATCATACATTTACACGGTAGTTCTGAATAAGATGTCTGAGAGTTTACGAGGAAGCCCAGAAGACAGGCAGTTGTGGCATGCGATCATACATTTACACGGTAGTTCTGAATAAGATGTCCGAGAGTTTACGAGGAAGCCCAGAAGACAGGCAGTTGTGAGTGGGTTTTTTTGTGTTGTTGTTATTGTTTTTTTTTTTTTTGTTTGTTGTTGCAATAATTGGGTCTGTTAATAAGTGATAGCTGCATATGAGAGGCGTAGCTAGAGTGTTTGAAGCCCGGGGACAAGAGTCCCCACCCCCTTTTTTTTCAACTCTGAAACCCAATACTTTCATAAATATAATACCACCAAAGCAAATTTTCTGCACCCCTGACTTATCTCTAGCGTCCGGGGACATAATAATATGTAACCATATTCCCCTCTCAGGGCTGCCATACCTTGGGAATTTTCCCAAGATCTTGGGAATTCATTACCCCATTCAGGACCAAAGCTCTCTTTTTTTTTAACAATTCCCAAGATTTAAAAAAAAAACTCTTATATATATATTCTCATGATCTTGGGAAATCTTGGGAATTAAAAAAATTGAGTAGTAAGCAACCCCCCCCCTCCCCCAACTCCCTCTTCGTTACTCTGTATCAGCTAAGGAACGCGGGGCAGACTAAATTTATCTTAAATTCGTTTAACTTTAATATACAAATCGGCCTATTGGAGTGCGGCATACGCTCAATGTGGGGAAACATTGATATGAACCAACCCTGTTAAAAAAATGAACGGTGTGGAAAAAGGCCTGTATAGGCCAATTTAGGCTATAAGCAAGGGTCGTGCGAAATGGAATCCGCCACGAGTAGGCCTACCATCTTCAATGGGCGCTAGGCAAAATGTGTGTATGAACGTATGGCCCCATGCTTACTTTTACTTATAGGACAAGATATCGTTTTAGTTTTTTCAAGTTTGGCCCCGGGTGCAGCTCTTTCTTCCTATACCCTGTATAATGACATAGGCCTTCAAATACATGTTTAGATAGGCGGTGATATTGGAGCCCGGGGTGGCTAACCCGAACCCCATTCACACATCATTTCACACAGCCCTGTAGTGGCTGCAGGCCTAAATTATAGGCCTATCTATAATATGTTATATTATATTATAGATAATATAATGAAGAGGTTGGAATATAAAAAAAAAAAGAGGCTATATTTAAAAAAAATGAATGGATTCCTTTTTTGTTAAAGAATCTCCCCAGAGAAGCGAATGTTTTTAGTAACATTAAAAGCATTTGACTTTTTTAAAAAAAAAGGTTTAAAGCCTTCATTTCCAGGAACTACGAGGTCAAAAGAGCGATCCGACACTTGGTCTTGGTCTAGCTCAGTTGTTCTCAACCTTCCTAATGCCGCGACCCTTTAATACAGTTTCCATTGTTGTGGCGACCCCCCAACCACAAAATTATTTTCGTTGCCACGTCATAACTGTAGAGTATTTGTGTTTTCTGGTGGTCTTAGGCGACCCCTGGGAAAGGTTCGTGCGACCCCCAAAGGGGTCGCGATCCACAGGTTGAGAACCGCTGGTCTAGCTAATAGATGAAACCTCTATTTATAATTTATAATATTATATCCGTATTTTGTTTCACTTTCATTTTCTATTCCTTGGGCTAATTCAATTTTGGAAGTGGAAGTCCTGTTATTTTGTCTTGATTAGAATGAGGTCAATATAATAATTATAGTTCTCAACGAGTGTAAGTACTTGTAGTCTAATCTAAGGCAAGGACAAAATTAAATGTAAAGTTACCTGTATTTTCAGTTATTCTAAAATAAGTTAAATAGCATAATTTATCAAATTTTTTACTAATTATTTAAATAATAATAGAATATTATTTGCCTTTAAAATAAGCCAAAAGTTATTAAATTACTTATTAAATTGTAATATTGTTTTCAGGAATGTTTTTTTGTTAAAGTTTATGATCATATTATTTAGTTGAAGATAATGGTAATGCTTAATTAAAGAACTATAAAATGTTATGCTTTATATGCATACAAAGATATGATTCATATAAGTATTAGGAATTATTGTTACTTCCAAGATAAATTGTTTAAGACTGAAAATTTCTACATTAAATTGCAGTAAAATTATCCAATTTCACTATCAAATAGCCTATATATAGCCTATATTTTTTTTAATAATATTATTTGTTACAAATAAGGTTTAATGTAACTCTATTTAAATTTATTTTAAAAAAAATGTTTTTATACAGTTGCAGTCAACAACAAAAAACTGAAACATTCTTTTTTTGGGATTCTCCATATTGATTTACATTGTGAACAAAACCACACATTTTATTAAAACATTTAATAGGTTATAAAGGCTCATTGGGTTGTTTGGATAGGTCAGAAGCTAACCTTAAGCTCAATATCTTGCTAAAGATTAATATATATAATATCTGTAATTTATCTATAGACTGCTGCATGACAATGGGAGAAACCATCACATGTGAACAAACCATGCAAGAAAAAGTCAGTAAATTAACTGACTTGTTTGAAAGCTTCAAGGTTAATAAAGCATTGATGGACCGTAAACTACTGACAAGGGTTATTGCACTGGAAGACAAAACCAAGGATCTACTTACAAAGAATACAGAAGAAAGAGTCAGCAGGGATATCCTAGAAGAAAGATTGTGTGAATTTGTTCAGAATCAGGTCGTAGATCTGGAAAAAAGGATGGAGGATCAGATTATTCAAATGAAGATGCAAATAAGAGATGCAATGGTCGAATTTACAAATTTCATCACAGACTTCCATCAAATGAAATCAGCTTTACGATCACAGCACAGAGACACAATAAATTGTAGAGAGGAAACGCTTGAAATATCAGATAGGCTGCGAGGGCTGCAGAAAGAGAGTTTGGCAGAGAGAATAAGGATAGAAGAATCAATAATCCAATGCAGAGAACAGGTTCAGAGCCAGTGGGAGTTGCTTAAGTACAGAAATGCAGAGAATGAAGAATTTAAAAGGCAAATGGAAATTATTAGAACTCAGTTTATAGAAAGCTCAAAAGAACTGGAAAGCTTTAAGAGAAACAATGAGGTTGTAGAAGAAGGATGTGAATCAAAAAAAGGAAAAACATCGGATGATATTGTAAAGAGTTGTAAAAAAGCTGAAAGCAAATTTAAAACCGAGATGAAAAAACTGTCGGGTGCTTTGCAAGATGCGTTTGAGAAGAAGATAGAAGAATCCCTGGAGGAACACAAACAAGACTTACTGTTAAGTGCTAGCAAAGATTTACAGGAAAGGATTGAGAATGACATTATAAGAATCAAAGAGGAGCTTGGTGCACATGTCACAGAGATACAAGGTTGTAGAAATGACATCAGTAAAATTGAAGATTATTTCCTTGAGGTAAAACCACAGAGTAAGCAGGCCTACAGACCTGTTTACCTCAAACTCTTAAAATCGTACAATATCATCACAAAATTGTTCAATACATTATCTTAATTATAAATAATAAACATGCAGTATGTATACATCTCCAAATCGTAAATTCTACGCTAAAATCATAAGAGTAAACAGGTCTGGGTCTATGTATTTTTATGTCTTCTATGCTCTTCCCACTTTATTTTATTGATGTCATTGCTGGGCACTAGAATAAGCATATTCATTTTATATTCTCTTCTCTCATTATTTCTCTCTGACATAAAATATACAATGAGAACAATTAATATTTACAATCTTTACATCCTAATGTCCAGATACATATACCGAAAAGCAAGGGACCATGGGCATCAAATTATCTTAGATTTAAATAGGTATTAAAAAAACAAGATTGTTCAGCTCTTGACATTTTTTTTCAATTTCTATTATTAGTTTCATGATTCAAGAACTTGAATCTTCATTACACAAGATACATTAAATTTTCTTTTCTTGAAAGTCTCTACAGTTACACGAGCAACAAGCAACTTTTGAGAATGAAGTTGGAAATCTCAACTTTGGCCTTGAATCTCTACATTGCGAGCTCACAGATCTGAATGATAAATTGGTTGAACTGCAATTGGTTGTCATCAAGGGAAAAGTAAGTTTTTGAACTAAATAGTAAGTCAGAGTAAATTGTAAGGTTAACAAAGTAATGTATCAGGTTGAGAGTAAATTGGACATAGATGCCGATGATGATTAAATACTATTCAAGCGCTTGTGTCCATGCTATTTCAGCAAGCTCAAAGCGTTCGGATTTCCTAAATTCTTTTTAAAGAAAAATGTCTTTATATGTTTCTTAAATGATTTGTTTTATCATTTTCAATTGCCCTCAAAGAAAGAGTAATTGGATTATATAATTTCAGAGAGATAGGTGTGGACAAAGTAGTGCGAACAGATGTGATGGAAATTATTTCATCACTGATCAAATTTTATGTGGATTTAAAATAAAAGCCTTAAAAAAATAACATCACATTTTAAAAATTCATTAGTGAACTTGCTTTTCACTTGTTCCAGTTCTAATAAATTAAATTTCAACACAAATTTTTGTAGCCTAGCTTTGATTAAAATAATTAAAATTATTTAATATGATGTAAGGCCTACCAAAAATTATAACTTTCTAAAATATTTTGTTAACAGAATTTTTGGGATGAAATGTGTATTAAACACAATGGCCAACTTTCTGCAAAAGAGCTTTATGGTGTCATTGCTGACGTTGGATTGAAGGTAATATTTTTGTATCAAATAACTATATATTTTTTAATTCTTTCAAGATCCAAACATTTCAAACCCTTAATTTTTCTATTTACCTTTATTAAAAAAAAATATATTAATGTTTGTATTTGAGGTCTATTAGAATAAGACTGACAAAAATAATACGTTTCACAACAGTATGAAATGATGAAAGGGCTTATCACTAAACGTGTTCACAATCTGGAGATCTTAAGAGAAAAGTTAGCAGCCTTCGAAAGATCAATCAAAAGCAGAGCTGAATTGGAGGAAAAGGTAGGGTGATATTCGAAAATGATTTAATGCTTATTATTTATACATTAATACTTGAAACCAGAATCTGTTACTCTGAACTTTGGTCATTTTAGAAATTAAATTGATAACTTTTTGTTTCAGGTAACTTACTTGACCGCATCCGTAGAAAATGTGCAGAGCTTAATTTACTCAACCCAAGGTATGTGTTTTCTTGCTTATTAACTTAATAATTTTTTTGAATGATAATAAAACTTTACATGTACAGATAAACACATAAATATGTTTAAATAAAAATTTTCAATCCTATCGTATAAATATATAATAAAGCTGCTCTGATTCATCCAAATTCACATAAAATCAAATACCAAGTGGGATAACATTATTTTATTTTTAATGTCTAAATTTTCCTGATAATTAAACAATGTTTCAATAAATTCTCACATCAGATTCTTTCAGTTCTGTTCTGGCCAAAAATTGTCTCACTAACTTCAAAGATAGTTGGCCATTAGGTGCATCTTTGGACTGGAGCATGGAACCCAGCGTGGGGGTAAAGAGTGCATCCATTTTATCTTCCAAAACGAACAGTAGAGCTAATGATGATGCACTATCAAGTGAGAAATATGTTGGTCTCTCATCCGTCAATGTTGATTTACCCTCATCCACTTTGGAATTTGAGGGTCATTCATCCAGTAATCTTAATTTAATCTCATCAACTTTGGAATGTGATTGGTCAGTTGTCCAGTAATCTTGATTTAGCCTCATCAACTCATGAGTGTCAAAAGTCCAGTAATATTGACTTAATCCCATCAAATTACGAACGTGAAGGTCAATTGTCAAGTAGTATTGATTTAAGGACATTATCGGAAATAATTAGTATCATAGTAGAGAAATCTAGTAATTGAATGGAGGAGATTTCTCATAAATATCTGTGAATTATGAATAAAATAGAAGTGGAGTTGAAATTTAGGTGCTGAAAAGATGTACATGCATATAAAGAGGAATGTTTTCTAAGATAGCTTATATGCAATAGAAATTTGAATTTTTTTATTCGACATAGTTGTATCCTTATAGACCTGTGAACCAAAAAAACTTTTTGTAAATAGAAAAATAAATCTATTCATCCATGAATTTGCCCATTAAAAAAGAAATCAACTTCAGTATTAGACTTTGCTTTCGCAATGTCTTGGTTTCAGATGTTTTTATATCAGTATTTTACTGTTTAGCCTTGTGATTTTTTTTTTCCATAAATGCTTGCAGTGGGGCTATTAGATACCGTGGTGCACACTGCACAAATTTAGTTTCCATTATTAGGCTGTCTCAACAGAACAATGAACTGGTCAAAGTCTCCAACAATAAAGCAAGATACCATAATACTTTGTTGTTAGTGACAGATACCATAAGTCTTTCATTGCTTCGTGTCCTAATTAACTTATTAACATATTTTTAGTTTCCACAAAATTGAGTAGCAAACAGAGTGGTTTTAAACTTTGCTCTTTTCATTATGCCTAACCAATGAGAGTTTAGAGAGTGAACCAGATTGAAAGATGAGTTTCTTATTCTGTTATGTTCATTGTATAAGTTTTATTGATTACTATGTGTTTTCACATGCCTTCTCATGCCCAAGTAGTGTACAATAGAAAAAGGTTTGATTACAATAGAAAAAGGTTTGATTGCAATAGTGGCTTACGGGGTGGGGGCAAATGTTGGGGGAACCAACATTAAATAATTGATGTGTTTGTTTATTTGTGGGAGTCCTCCCCGGGTGGCATTTTGGTCAAGTTATGTCACTGACTGCCACTTGAAAACTAATAAAAAATTTTCAATAAAAATAAATGTTTAAATTCACCTCAGGTGTCACTTTTTTTTTTCCATTTCAAAATGCCCAGTCACACAAATATATCTAAAAACATTTTGTTTTTCTTCAAAAAATATTTTTATTTTTCAACCAACACAGTTTTGTTGAATTCAAAATTTTCAACAGTAAAAACTCAATATTAAAAATAAACGAAGTATTTACATCTGTTGAAATATGAAATAGTTTTTCTATAAAAAAATGATAGAGCATTTTCACATTTGGTGTGTAAATAGTAACTTTAGACTTAGATTAGTTTAATAAAAATCTATCTCATTTTAAGAATAATTTCTATACAGACACCCACAATCATTTAATAACAAAGAGAAAAAAATAGATGGAATGAATTGATATTGTATATGTAAAAGAAACTCTGTTGGGACAATGTTTACCATGAAGATGGCAGCAAACCAATGTTTGTTCAAAGAGGCAGATTTTATCATCACAACGCACTAAGGAAAAAAAAAGAAAAGCAAGTTTTTTCTCTTTAAAAATTAAAAAAAAAAAAAAAAGCCACGTAATGCACATAGGTCAAATAAATGGCATTTGTATAAAAATTGATTAATGAAATACATTTTCACTTCAACACATACAATGTAATTACTGATTAGTTTTAGTTCAGACCATGTAATAAAATTAATTCTTTTATCATATATATATATAAAAGTGAATGTTTGTTTGTGGCGGGCAGTGTTTGTTCCCCAAAGGCTTTTACATGGATTGATGGATCTTGACCAAACTTGGCACATATATCCATCTTTATCTGGAAGGAACTCTTAAGGGGTTATGAACTTTTTATAACATTCTGTTTGGGGGCCAGGGGCCTCGAATTCGTTTTTTTCCTTATATGCACTATATAAATAAAATTAACAACAAATACTCCTACAATCATAAATGGATCTTGACCAAACTTAGTACACATATACTTTATTATCCATAATCAAATGCCCAAGGAAAATGAACTCATAATATCCATTTCTCTGGGGCCGGGGGCCCTGTTTAATTTTTTCTTATATAAGCCATATAAATATCAATAGGCTTACACAACACTATAGTTTCTATGGGAATTGATGGATCTAGACCTAGCGTTGTAGCAATTCCCTTCATCATACGTATTGAAATCGTACGTATTGAAATCATAAGTATTGAAATCGTATGTATTGAAATATCGGTGGATTTAAAACTAATAATATCCATTCTAGAATTTTCCAGAAAGTTAGATAATTTTAAAAAGCTCTATCCATGGCATTTGTAAGTAGATTTTAAATTTAATGGGACCAATTTTAAATTTTAACTCCATTATTTATCCGTCTGATATTTCCAGGGCCCCCCATCTCGGAAATAACTAAAAAGGAACTTTATTAAATGGGCCCCCTATTTTAATTTAAATGTACTATAGTTATAGTAGTGAAAATTAGTTGTATAATATTTTGTATTTGAAAAATAATTATTTAGAAAAGTAATTTTTTACAGGTTTCATGGAGCATATTAAATCTAGAATCTTCCAGAAGTTTCTATATTGTTCTAAGCGGTATATAATGGGATCTAAAAGCTTATTTGAAAAAAATTGCACTGAGCATGATCACATCGGAAAACGGGATTGCGCAGCGGATCGGGATCAGAATACGATTGGGGTCTTACTGTATCGGTGTCCCATTAGGATCGGGGACCTAATGCAATCCCGAGCAAAGCTGGGTATATTGGCAAGTTATTTATATTTATTATTTTTTAAAGATTATTTAAGCTTACAGTAACAGTTCAGCTTGTGAATATTCAAGACAAAATGTCTAAAAATTAAACTTGAAAAAAAAAATCATTTCTGAATGTTCTGTTGAATCCCCCAAAAATTTCCAGTTAGCACATGTAGTCAATGAAAAACGTGAGATGAACAAAACAAAATTGTTATTAGTTAAGTCCTCGTAATGTCTCAGTTTAAAACAATCATGATTGAGAGTTCTTTTGAAATAGAAAACCAAACTGTAAGCTTCAATATACCACCCTAAGGTGATACTCCTGAGACAACACCATATCCTAATTTAGAAACATTTTTGAATATAATTTTTTTTAGTGGCAAACCAAAGTATTTTAACAAAATAATAGCTAGTTTTGTATGGCACAACAAAAAATTCAAACATCTAGCTGCTGTGGAACACCTTGTGGAAAAAGAAGCAAACGTACTACTATGCTACAAATGCATGCATGAAAAATTAGCAAACAGAAAGATGATGTCCACGTTCCTTATTTAGTTATAGGAATATTAAAAATGTCCCTTGACATAAATTCAAAGGGGAAAAAACACCAGAAGAAGCCTTTCAAAAAAAAAGCACCGGCTAAAAAAACGAAAGTCAAGACAACAGAATGTGATTGTGTGCAGGGAAATAAAATACAAGTGACTTATTGCAAGGAAATCAAACCCTTTCACATTATTTCAGACAACCTTCACCTAACTTTTACACTATTTATACACTCGTATTTGGTAATTAAGCAAAATACACACCATTTACATAGTAAACACTAAAATGAAATAACGCTACAAACAACACACTACAGTCGTGCACAGGTTTAAATGGGCAAACAATGATGGACTGCCACAATTTGAAGTTAACCTATCAAGGGTTTTCCAACCTGAGGCTCTCAGGGCAGCCAACTGACAACTGACATTTCATGGACATAGGAGGAAAAGTGATTTTAAGGTTAAGTGATTTTTTTTTTACTTTTAATTTAAGTTATAAATGTTAATATATTTTTAACAATTTCTTCAATAAAATTTTCCTTTATTACAAGCAAAACCTATTCAAACAAATCTTTTGGGGTGCAGAACAGGTAGAAAATGTTAAGAGGCCATGTGGACGCATTCATAAGGTATAATGTATGGGCTAAAAACATTTTTCTTGGTTCCCATTAAAATTGTAAGAAAAAAAAAATTCCATTAAAAACATTTTTTTTTAAAAATTACAAAATTCTATAAAACAACCGTATTAATATTTGAAAATTATATTTAAAACATGTTTTTTTATAAATATCGTGATGCTCCAATTTGATTGTATTTCTGTTGGTGAAAAAGTAGTTTTATAACACAAATATTAAATCAGTCAGTCCATGTTTTGTTTTATACAAATCAAAACCAGATTTGTTTGATCAATTGGTTAAATCAAGTCACATAATGCAAGTGGCCAGAGATTTTGTGCCATCAAAGTGAGATCAAAGCATTTTTAACACAGGATTCACCCCAACAAAAAACAACATGTTCTTGATACAATGAGGGTTAACTTTAACCAGATTTAACATATAAATCAAGAATGGATTTTAAGAAAAACAAATAAAACAATTACAGTATTTTATCATTTTAAGTATACTTTTTTAAAAAGTGCATAAAAATTACTGGTCAAATCTTAAAAAAAGAAAAAAAAAGAAAAGCTTTTCCCCAACTTTAAGCACTGGAAACCCCATTATATAAAATATCAAATGTCGCAACCTCATCAAACCCTATGTATACCCATATAAAATTTCTCTATGTCAAGAGAAGGTTTGTTAACAAAATATCCTGTTTAGATGCTGGAAAAGATGTATTACATTGAACATGAAATTAGTTTTAATGATTCCACAGCACAAATATGGGTAACTTTTCAAGCAATAATTTTTCATAATGCAAAAATACAAAAAATCTGTAAAAAAAAAAATAACAAAATTTTTCCTGGAAAATTAGACTAAACCTCAAACAGTCCAGAATAGAACATGTAACAAGAACATATCTTTTTTAAAAAGCCATGTTTAAAAAAAAAACTAAAGAAACCTGAAATAATGAACCAACTGGTAAAGTTATAATGCACCTAATTTTTAAAGGTTAAGAGTGCTCTTTAGGCTGATCTGTGTAGCCAGTCTTGGCCCTGTGGGTGGTTCAAAAAACCAGGAGTTATTTAATAATACCATGATTATCAAATCAAAGCAAGGTATAGTAAAAAAACAATCACACCCCAAATGAAACTAACAGAATGTTGGTAAAAAAACAACAAAAAACTACCTCCACTGAAAGTAAACAAGCAACAAATTGAAAAGATATCAAAAACAAAATCCTTATACAGTCAAAAGTTTCAAATTAAAATATTTATTCAGTTCTGCTTTTCAAACTAACACAAACTTAATTTCATTAAGGCAAATTCATCAGCTATTTTTTTGGAAAAGAACCTGAGATTTGCCAGGAAGACACATTGGGAGTGTTTCACAAAATATATCCAGTCGTCTAGATTGCAACACTTCACGTCACATACATGTACATTTAGCAAAAATCTACAAGGTCATCACGAGTCCTGTCAGCAGCAACAATTTACAAAACATATCCTGTCATTTGGTGTTCTGAAGCAAGCCTAGAGAAAAGCCAATTTTTAAATAAAACAAAAAAAACAACCCTACCCAACAACCATACAACATACCAGTTGATGTTGGTGGAATCTTCTCACACATAAGAAATGTCAATTTTATCAATATTTTCCCCATTTTTCCTACACACATATTTAAATAAAAAACATTCCGTTGATACACAAAAGAGCACAAAAAGTTATATAAATAACTGATGGCTTGTGGTCTTACGATTCACTTACATGGTCATAACAATACAAATTTAAATCAAAAGCTTGTTTCTATTTTAAAATAGCGACAGTCACACAACA